TCCTCTTATCACCTCGCTCACACCATTCACAATGAAGAGAGTTGGTTGCGCAAAAATCGCACCACAGGAAGCCTTTGGAAATAAAAGTTGGGCGTTGTGGTGGCCAGTGGGCGGGGCAGTGGTTTCGTCGCTAGTGGGCCACTCTCCTTACGTATATGCGAGCTGCGGAAGTGCTACGTCCCCCATGCTTGCGGACAGGACTACTCTGTCCAAAGAAATGGGTCCGAACATCAAATGAACAATTGAACACGGAGCGTGCCTTCAAGAAAGGCAGTAATCATGTGCAGTGGCTGCCAAGTCAAATATAAGCGCTTAATGTTCTTGTCACATGTTAACGTTTTTGGAGCAGATCTGCTTGGTGGGGGCACCAAATGGTACTCAGAGAAGACTGAGCCACCTTGTGAAGTCGTGTAAACTCCTGTAGCTGAAGTGCCTCAATTACACCATTCCGCAGCTTCACAAGGGTTCACTGGTCTCACCGAGGTAAGACCTGTTAGTAGAATCAACTAGCGAAAAGAGTCAGCAAGGGGCTCTACTGTTCCCCTCTCTCCAAGACAAAAAGTATCCCCTTCATTGTTGGTCATCTACCGCTTGGATGATGAAAAAAAATGTCAGAACTCTTGAAAATGCTTATTTGTTTGGCTTGTTCCAAGTTCTCCTCGGCATTGGACTAAACAAAAACAAATGAAACGAGCATGGCTCTAGCGAAAAAAAGCAAAGAAACCAGCTGCCCAATTGAAGGAAAGGAATCTATGTGAAGCACACACCTTTTACGAAGCTCATGTCGATCTTCCCGCTCAGCAGCAATTTGTCTCTGCCTTGCTTCACTATATCTTTCGCTAGCTATAGCAGCGGTTCGCTTCCAAGCTTCCATTGAAGCACGTAAACGATCGGCGTCCGACAAAGCGGCAGAAGATGAGACCCTAAAGCGCCGGGAGAAAATCAAAGCACGAAAATATAGAGCACACCGGGAATATGGGGAAAACATAAAACGCCTCTACAAACATGCACTACGTCGCCAGAAAGAGTGACTAACAATCGGGGGCGTCACTGAATAAAGCACTGATATGGAAGTACGGTGGTAAACTCACAGAAGACAGGATATCGATGGGAAAAAAAGAGAAAACTGGAATTAAAAGGATGAACTCACGGTGGATCAGGCGTCGAGGCATTCCCATTATTCAAAGTTGAGGATGGTGACTGGCCAGGCATCATAGCAACTTGCATCCTGCAATATAAGCAAACTTTTCAAAACGAAGAGTGGAAATGTATTGAAATCCAAAAACACGCGAACAGTGAAAGTGAAAGAACTGGTTCCAGCCTTTCCTAACAACCAATATCGCAACTTTTCCATGTAACATTACTTCAATCTTGATGTACATTCTCAAGCTGAGCAGTTCTGAAGTACAATCAACACCAAATGAATTAGGCAGATGCTCACAATTAGGACCTACATATCAAAAATGAAGGATGGGGCCTGTCCAGCGGGGTGGTTTTGGCAGTGGACCAAACCCGTTTTCCACAAGTTGTTGAAGCGGGTAAGCGACAACAATCGTGGAAAATAACCGATACTAACGATATAATGCAGTCTTGTTGCTTACTCGCTCCAACAACGGGTACGGCGCCGCGCCAAATCCATTACGCCTGACACGCCCCTTCATCCGTAGCGAAGCAGACTATTCAATGATCAAAAACATGAAGAGAGAAAAAAAACAAGTACTATCGATCCCAACCACAATAATTTATCAGGAAAAGTTAACCAAAAGAAGGATTCGCTTTCTTGTAACTTATCTATTAGAAAAACAGCAAGACAGCGAAAAACTATGGGCACTTTTTGTTTCGCCATCGGTTTGTGACCTGCTGGACCGACTTGGCCTACCTTTACCGCACTGGTTAGCTTCTGTTGATACTTCTCGTCTCCCTTATCATTTTCCTTTTCAGATACGCGCGTATACGTAGAGGACTTGATAGTATGCAGAGCAAAATATCTGACGACGATACCATTCGGACGAGTTGTCGGTGAATATGTGTCACTAAAGAAACCCTCGAAGAATGCCCGGTATCTGGAGCTAGAAAAGAACGTCGCTGGCACGGCACTACCCCTCTCGCCTTCTATGGCTGCAACGAACGCGAGAAAAAGTGGGGCGTTTCCTGTCTGCGTTCATCCAGCAGCGTTGGGCACCGCACGTGACCAATCCGGACGAGTTGTCTGTGAACTCGAATCAAAAAATCTTTTCGACTGCCCAAGACTCTAATGACGCTCTTTATATATGCTGACACAGGAGTACCATTCTGACCATCGTTCCTGCTTGCTAAATCTACAGATGAGAAGTGGATGGAAGGATTAATTAGGAACACAATCCAAAAGAGCATTGGCTTGGAATTAATCTACAGAGCGCCGTTCGAGATCGCACA